TGTGTGTCCATTCTGTCTGATTTTCTGCTCTCTTCTGGATTTAATTTTATTTTCTCTAGCATTTTGGAAATTTATGATTGTAAAAGCAATGCAGTCTGACTCCATTTCTACACATCAGTGGCTGTCAAAGATCAGGGTGGAGGAGGGGCGCAGCACCAAGAGGTTTTGGGGCTGGTGGAATGTTCTCTATTTCAAGTGTGGTGGTGGCTACATGACCATATGCATTTATTTATCAAAACTCATAGAACTGGACACTAAAAATAATTGTTATATGTTTTTAAATGAGTAAAACCATTAAAAATTATAAAATAATAATGCACATTTATTGTGGGCATATGGAAGATTTTAAAAGATGGAAAAAATATAACCTAGAATGTTAAACGTATTTCTTTTTCAGTATTTTCTTATGCAGAAATGAACTCTCTCTTTCCCTCTCTCCCTGTAAAGCTGGAGCCTAGCTATATACAGTTTTGTGTCCATCTCTTTTTCTTTACCGAGTGGCATGACAGCTTAGTGAAAAGCACAAACTCTCGAGGAGGGCTGCCTCGGTTTCCTCATCTGTAAAATGGAACTAATAATCCTACAGTAAATATTAGCTCTTCTTACATTGTGTTTGGCCAGGCACGTTGTTAGGTGATTAAACACTCCTTTAAACTGTGCTTTTAAATGGTTCCTGTCACTCCACATTCCACATGTACGTGACTCATGTAAACAGTCCCCCAGGGCTAGACACTTAGGTTTCTTTTACTAGATTTTTTTTCCCTTAATTCCTCAAAGACAAGGGGAAGAGGTGGTCTCTGGTATGAACCCAGTTACAAGGCATCTTGATGGAAATAACCCCTCAGAGGAAGGAGGGAGAGACTAACGTTTATTGAGTTTACTGCCTGCCAGGCACGAACCCTGTGCTGTCTTGCAGCAACACATGGGAAAAGGAGAAATTCTGATTCCCATTTTTTGGGTAGAATGACTAAGCTCAGAGAGATGGAGTGAATTACCTAAGATCACACAGCAAGTGAGCAACAGGGCCAAAATTCACATTCATATCCTTTGATTCCAAGTTCAGTTTCCCTGGCTTTTGGTACCTCCTATTAAGGTAATATTGGTGTTGAAGCAGTGAGGGGAGTAGGGGAGGTCAAGGAATGTTCCCCAGACCTTGACCTGGGCTGTGAAGTGTGGACAGAGCAGAAGGTGGACACATGAAGAGGAGAAAACCAGAGTGAGCTGATTCACCAGGTCTCTAGCACCATGCTAGGGATTTTAGACTCAGTGCCTCTGATTTCCCACCTGTAAACTGGGGATAATGATGTCACCTTATAGGACTGTAGTTAACAGTTTGCACAAGAAAGCCAAAGCTACCTTGATTTGAGAATATTCACTAAAGAAGCCACCAGGGGTAAACACGGGCCCTGCCAGACATCCCTTCTGTCTGAGATGGACATGGAATGCCCACATACCACCCCCTGTAACTGTCCCCACATCCTCCATTCCTGCACCCCTGTCCCCACCACCCTCATCCCTGCACACCTATCCCAGGCTGTGTGAGAGTTAGATGTAAACCCCCAACTCAAAGGCAAAGCCAGTTGATTGCCAAGTACAGCTGCCAACAGCCTACAGCTCTGGATGTCACCGAGTCAATGAGAATCCTTCTCTGGCCAGTAGGAGAAGGTGCACTTCAAACAGGAACAGCTTCAAAACAGGTTTGTGAAAAAACAGACAGAACCCTGGATTATGCGCAGGACTCACTGAGAATATATCACCCCCTGAATCAACAGAGGATGTGTTCTGTGATCAGTCTAGGGATGTGTGGGTAACTGCCAGTTTAGTTCTTCAATGCTGATGAATACTGCTAAAAAGATGAAGCCGACCTACTTTTAGAGCTTTAATCCCATGTTGTAAGTTGAAGCCCTGCCTGAGCCTTGTTCAAGACACACAGTTCTAAGTGAACTGTGTCGGGCTGCGAGCCCCGGGAAGCCCTGGGTGGAGGAAGGTGTGTGGGCCAGTGGGGAGGTGACCACTGACTGATGGGAGTTGGTGGACACATACCCCAGCTCCTGCCCCTCAGGTAGGACCACACTAGGGATGTTCAACTCAGTCTCCAAGAGCCTCCCGGTGGGGCTGAGCCCCCAGGTGCCCACAGCAAGGACCCCTCATTAACACACCTTCCCTTCCTGTCTCATGGCTCCCCTCCCCAACCAGTGCTGCCTAGGACCACCCTGCATTTGAACCACTTACACTGAGATCCTCATCTCAGGGTCCGCTTCTGGGGACACTGGCCTGACAGTGACCTTCTCCTAGTACAGTCCTAGTACTCCCTAGGTAAGGAGGAAAAATCCGGGGTGAGACGAGGCTGATGGCAGAGGCAGAGGAGAGGGAGCCTTGGCTGTGGGCCCCTGTTGGATGGGGGGTGGCCTCTGAGAATGGGAAATGGGAGCGGGGCATTTGGGAGCAGGAGAGCTTGAGTTCTGTGAAGGATGTGCTGAGTTGGAGGGGCTGCAGGACCTCCAGGAGGAGGTGTCCAAGAGGAGGTGGAATATAAGGGCCTAAGCCCTGAAAGTGGGGGACAGGAAGAGAATCCAGCTAAGAATGTTGGAGCTGTGGCAGCAAAACTGGGGGAGTATGGGGTCCCTGAATCTCCAGGCAGAGGAGGAGGCAATTACAAACTGAGCTGTACCCCGACACACACACACACACACACACACACACACACACACACACACACACACAGATATATGAGCGTACCCGACCACCACACACACACACACACACACACACACACACACACACACACACACACGAGATATTCAAAGATTAAGTTCTAGAATTTGGAGAGTCTCAAATTCCACCAATAATTGTTCAGGCAGCTTGTGACTGACCTCCCAGAGGTCGACGCTGATGCAAAGGAGGGTCGGGGGGCCCCAGAGGATCTCAGGGGCCTCAGCCCCCTCCCCCTGGGCACCCAGGTCTTACCAGTTAAAGTGCCCAGGTGAACATTGAGGCCCTGCACCAGGTTGGAGATTCTCAGGCACAGCTGCGGAAAGACAGAGCGGCTGGGTTAGGGCAGCCCTCGGGACTGGAGAGGCAAGGCTGGGAGGGTCCAGAGTCCCTGTCTGGAAGCCTTTCCCAACCCAGACGCCAAGGCCTGGGATCTTTCCTCCACCAGCCAGTGGGCACATTCCAGCATCTCCTCTGGACACGAGATTCAGAGGGGAAGCAGGGGCTGTGGGACACAGCAGAGATGGCCACAGCTGGGCCCCAGGCAGCCAAGGCAAGTAGCCTGCTGCCCTGGGGCACAGAGGCCCAGCTGGCGGAAGGGCGCTACCTGCAGCGGAGGCAGGCAGGGGTCAGCAGCCCAGACCAGGGAGACTGGAGTCCTGGGCACAGAGAAGCGGACTAAGGTGGGATCAGCGTGAGAGAAGGTGAGGCAGAGGAGAGGCTGCGAGGCCGGGGGTGTTCACAGCTGGTCCAGGGAAGAGCTAGTGAGGCTGGGCCAGGCAAGGCCAGGAGGCAGAGGAGAGAGCTGGGTCAGGCTGTCCTGCCTTCAGCCCTCAAGCGTCAGTTTTCTCATCTGCAAGATGGGAATGTTGAGGCTTGCCTCTTGAATGTGCAGGATGGCACACAGTGGGCTGATTTGGTCTCCACTACAGCCCATTAAAGGAGGCTGGATGGAGTGGGAAGGGGCAGGGAGAGGGAGGGCTCTCCCAGGGGGGTAGGGCCCTGGCCCCTAGGGCACCAGCTCCCACCAAGTCAGCTGCCTGCAGACAACGATGAGAGCTAAAATAGCGACGGTGACACTCACTCTCCCAAACTGTCCTAAACTCTCTGCGCTGTTGATGCTCTCCACCCCTGCCACTTGCCAGGGGCACTCTAGATGTGGAGAGAGGGAGGCTGGGTGACTTGTTCCAGGGTCCCAGCTGAGAGGGAGGAGAACCAGGATTGGAAGCCTGGTTGTGCCCACGCCCTGGCCGACTGTTATTTTGTTCCCTTCTCAGAAGCCACCTGGCCCTGCAAGCACTGTTCCCACCCCACCCTCCAGCATGGACTTGGGGCTGGTCCAAGAGAATGAGCCTCCCTCCCCTGCAGCACCACAACTGCACCCTGTTTGGGCCCCCACTTCGTTGCCCTGGACCGTTCATTGCCCCAGCCTCCTCCCTGCCCTCTCGGGGAAACTGGAGGAGCCCATGAAGGGCTTTCTAGTGAAAAAAAAAAACTCAGTCTCCGACACCTGCAATCTCCCATTCATTCACATGCCTTCTGACCCTTCTGATGTGAGCAGCCCCCTCCTCAGGAGACCTGGCAGGAAGTCTTTTACCTTGTTCCGCAGGACAGCTTTGATGTGCTTCTGCAGAGGGGCCAGCAGCGTGGTGGCTGTGCTAAGGAAGAGACACCCAAAGGGCCTGAGCTCCAGGTCAGCGCCTTGGGGCCTGTCTTTCGGCAAAGCCACATTTCCCGGAGAGACGTCTGTCCCCTCCCTCAGCCAGGGGGTCGGCAACTCCCACGCCACCCCCTGCCATGTGCCGGGCACGGTGCCAGCACGACTGACCCCACAGAGGAGGAAACAGCCTGGAGGTTTGGAAGTGGCTGAGATGTGAGAATGAGGCCAGGCTCGGGGGAGACAGAGGGAGTTGCAAAAGCCGTACGTGGCCACGTCCTGGGCCGATGGCTTCATGGCCACTGAGCCCAGGGAGGCGGGGGCAGGACAGGGGTCCTGGGTCTGCTTCTTCCTATGTGGGCCCTCTTTCTCTGTGACATACCTACCAAGTCCCTTCCTCACTGGGCCTAGCTGAGGGATGGGTCTAAATCTGTGTTTCTCAGTGGGGATCCATGGGAAATTATGGTTCCTTGGTTTCCCAAAAGTTGATCTTTTGACCCAACTTCACAGTGGCGTCTCGGCGGAGGTGGGAGGATGGCATCTAAGTTTTCAATGGCATCAAACTCTGGGCTTCCAGTTCCCGAGCAATAAACCACAAGCAGCCCCCACCCCTGAGGACTGCTAGGGGTCGTGAGTTACACAGGCTGATTGTGGGACTCAAGTGTGACTAGATTTATGCCCAAGCCTTCTCTGGGGAAAAAGTCCAGTCTTTGTGTAAATGTTGCACTCTTTTAAGACTCTAAAATACTCAACTGACAGTGAGGCCCCACCAATGGGCGGGAAGGCATAGACATAAGGCAGAGAAATTCACAGCAGTGGGGTTAGTCAGGCTGCCAGGGTTTGTACCCATTTGCCAGCTGTGTGACCTTAGGTGAGTCACTTAACCACTCTGTGCCTCTGTTTGCTGCCCTGTGAGATGTGGACAATACTCCCACCCACCTGGTAGGGCTCCTGCGAGATGACACACATAAAGGGCCCAGAAGGCGCCCCGCACACAGCAGGTGCTCTGGAGGTGGGCACGGCTGTTAGCTTTAGATCCAACAGGAGCTGCTGCCTGACTCACAGTGAGAGCTCGGTGGGTCTCATCCCCTCCCTGGGCATCAGACTCCTCATTTTGCAGTGGGGCAGCCCTCTGAGGTCCCTAACAGTGGCTGCCAGCCCAGTCTCCCTCCCCACATAGTGGCTAGTACGCATAGTCACGTGGTGCCGGGCAGTGATGGGGACACAGGCTTTAGCCACACTCTCACCGTGTGACCTTGGATGTGTCCCTCCCCCTCTCTGAGTCTCAGTGTTCTCAGCCATGAAATAGGTGTCATACTGGGGTGGAGGGAGGCTCTGAGTCCCATTGTGGTGATTGGATGAAGTGGGAATTTCAAGAAATGGCACCTGCAGCCTCAGTGTCTGGGGTCCTGCCTCCGAGCCCCCAACAGACACCCACCTGTTATAACCATCAAACACGATGGCCTTGTTGAAGAGTGAGTAGCAGGCAGAGATGCTGACCATGGGGGTCCCAATGGAGCCCTGGGCCACGAGGGTGTCAGCCAGCAGTGCCACGGGCAGCATCAGGTGCAGGGGCTCTGGGACACTGCAGGGACAGCAGTTCTGAGCCCCAGAGGCACTGCCCAGCAGAGGCCACATTGACCAATGTGCGACCCCACATCTCCCCCCAGTCAGAGCCTGCCATCCACTTAACACAGGCAGGGCCCCCCTCAACATGAGATGGATGCTGGGCACACCCACAAACTCCACTCAGGGTCACAAACATCGTCACAGATGACTTTGAACTCTGGCTTCCTTGGACCCTCTTACTGTGAGACTCTGGGCCACTCAGTCCCCATGCTAAGCCTCAGTTTCTTCTTCTGTAAAATGGACATAAGATTGGTGTTACCTATCTCACAGGGCTGCTGTGCTGAGTTTTCTAGGAGACAGTCATGTGAAAACATCCTGCTTGGAGCCTGGCCCACAATGAGCACTTTTAAAATGATAGCATCAGGACAGAGGAGTTAAAATAAGAGTGTCCTGCTCCCAGTTTGAAAATTAAATGCATATAAAGTGACAGATGCACAGAAATAATTCTAATATTTTATTGAGCACCTACTATGTGCCTTACACTGTGAAAGGGGTAATATAATTTTAATCATAGCAATGCATACATTCACGACAACCCGTGTTGCCATGCTGCAAAGTTTCATTTCATCCTGGTTGTTTTACAGAGAAGATAAACTGAGGAGCGGCGAAGTGAGATGACTGCCCAGCTACGCAGCTGTTGAGTAGGGTCTGGGTTCTCAGAAATTGTCTCACAGTCTTGCTCCCCCACTGGAGGGTGAGAGAGAAGGCACTGGAGAGGGGGCGCTAGACAGAGAGTTGGAAGGTCTAAGTTGGGGTCCTGGGAGTTGCTAAATCCTCTCCCCTCACTCTGCTTTCAGAGAGTCCTTGAAAATCCTCCCACCCGCAATGGGAGTGGAGAGTCACTCACCGAAAGATCTTGAAAGTAAAATTGGTGGCTGCCGATAAGCGTATTCCAAAACCGGCAATAAATTTCAGCTGGAGATAGGGCAGATGGACATTCAGAATCTGAATCCTGCAGGGTAGAAATCAAAGTGATAGGGTGGCCCCCTTTAAACCACGGAATCAACTCTGGGGTGGGTGCTCTGAATATCAGACCCACACAATATTGATGTTTATAAAGGACTTTCTGACAACTAGAACCACAGGATAAGGAAGCGGTAGTGAGTTTTCCATCATAGGGGGCATGCGAGCCCAAGTTAGCCAACCAGCCCGTAGGAAATGCAGGGAGGACCCCAGCATTGGGCAAGAGTTGGGTGAGATGACTGCTCAGGTCTTGGGGGGATTTTAGTTTTCGATAAGGGTCTGGAAAACTGGGAAGATGGGGAAAGACTTTGGGATCCACAGAAATCAGAAATCCCCTTCAGTCAACAGCTTTGGCTTGTAGCCCTCCAGCAATGGGAAACTCACCTTCTGCAAAGCTGCCTGTTCTGATTGCTAAACACTCTTCAGCTAATCTATTTTTTTCTTTAATAAGTCATTTTTTCCCTGCCCAGTAGTTAGTTGTGGGGGGCACTACAAAATGGTAGAAAGTTTCAAAGTCACATCAAAACGCCATCCTCAAACACTCTCTCTGTTAGCACTTGGGTGACGCCTTCCCGTGACTCTCCTTACGACACAAGCTGACCTGGAACTTGCTTCTCTTTACTCGACAACCATTCTGGATGTGTCCCTGCATCAAACAAGAACTCCTGGCACTGTTTTCAAACAACCACATGGTGTCCTTTGTATGGCCTGAGTGCCCGGGGCTAGCAGGACCCTTGGCTACATCCTCCAAAAGCTGGACACAGAAGCTAGACACAAATCTGACCCTAATTTACCCCTATGATGTCTAGATTCCATGTCCAGCTTTTGGAGGAAGTAGCCAAGAACCCTGCCAGCCCTGGGGACCCAGGAACCACAGCCTTGGCCCCTAAGGGGAGAAATCTACTAAAAGAGGCACCCGGCCCCCACGTCTGGGTCCTTCTAAATCCTCTTGTGATCTCTCACCTGGTAGGTGGGAGAATCTAACTTGGTGAGGGGAGGAACACTCATCTAATGGGTGGGGAAGCACTCTCCCACAATGAGTGTACTCACCTAGTGGGCTGGAGCGTTTTTCCCAGTGGGCGGAAGCACTCACCTGGTGGGCTGGATCACTTGTCCACTCCGGTCCAGGAAATGTGGGATAGGGACCTGCAGGGCCTGCCGGAGAGGGACTTTCCCGGCTTCAGCCACTGAGGGGCCAGAGCAGGGTGAGGTCAGGAGCCACCGAGAGAGAGACCACACTGCCCACCATCTGCCCCACACCTTGGGCGGAGAGAGCTCAGAGACTGGAAGGGCAGGCTGGTCCACGGGCACACGGAGGGCCGCTTGGCTCCTGATGTGCCCACCTTGGGTGCACGACCCCACCGGGCCTTTCCTCTCTTGCTTCTGCCTCTCCAAATCTTACCAGTCTACCTTCTCAGAAACAATAGCATCTTGGGGGGCGTAGGGGTAGAGCTCAGTGGTAGAGCACGTGCTTAGCATGCACGAGGTCCTAGGTTCAATCCCCGGTATCTAATGGAGATACAGCAACAACAACAAAAGCCCAGTAACATCCTTGGCCTTTTCTCCAGGCTCCGATCAGGCCCCGCCTCCTGGGGTGCTTTCCGCAAGCCCCCAGGCAAAAGGAGCAGTTCCCAGTCCTGCGAGGTCGGGGTGGGGGGCATCCTGACCTGGAGGCTGGGGGCTCTGGAGTCCCTCAGATTCTGGGTGCAAATCCCAGCTCTGCAGCTCACTCTCGGTGTGGCTGCTCTGTGCCTCAGTTTCCCCGCCTATTAGTCTGCAATCATTAGAATGGTGCCTGTCACATAGGGTGCCTGTAAAAACTCAGCGCGCTACAAATGTTAGCTCCCGTGGTTGGTTGTTTTTGTAATAATAACGGCTAGCACTACTATGGCGCTCCCTTTGTGCCAGGCACTGTTCTGAGTGCTTTGGTTTTCCTCAAAATTCTGCGATGTCAGTATGGTATTATGCTCAGTTTCCCGAGGACCCCTGGCAAGGAGAAGCTGGGTAAGGGCCCAGGCACCTGGCCCTTGAGGCCCTGGACATCCTCACACGCCTGTGCTGCTGGGTTGACGGAGGTGCTGAGCAAACAGTTAAACAGGAGTTCAAAATGAGAGGTCACAGTGCTGGAAGGGAGCGTCAGAGGAGGAGTCCAGAGGCCCGATCTTCCCTCAGACTCACTGTGGGGCCTGGGGAAGTCCCTGTGCCTCTCTTGGCTTCAGTTTCCCCAGACCCTAAGACATGAAGGGGGTGGTCTCCATGTTCCCAAGACCCCTCTCCAGCCTGACTCTCTGCAGCTGAGCTGAGACTCTCTCACTCAGATATGTGGACTCCATTTACAGTGCTCCCCTGACACAGGCTTAAACCCTGAGGCTTGCGGGATGGGCCACGGAGGACACAGTAAGAAGCCACCAGCCCAGCCTTGGAAAAGGTGTGTACGATGTGTTCTCGGCAGTTTGTTTCCACTGAGAACAAACAGCCAGGTGCACCACAAGGGCTCTCCAGGGATAAAGGAGGCTTACACAGAGCAGGCAGAGGGAGGTGGCCGGGGGAGGGCAGTGGCCTCCTGTCCCCGCAGGCAGTCATCCATGTGCCACTCTGTAACACGGATCACTGACCCCTTTTCATTGTCTGCCCATCTTCCCGGATTCAAGGTTCCGGAAGGCTATGTGTGCCCCAGGGTCCCTGCTGCTTCCCTGAGCCAACTCCTCTACTTTGTGGCCCAGGGCCACTGAAAGTCCTGTCTACTCTCTGATCTCTGTCCCTCACACTGTTATCTGAGTTTGGGCTGGCCCTGTGGGAATAGCTCCTTATTTCCCTCTCGCTCCTCACCCAGTCTTGGTGGGACCACAGAAGCCTCCCGGGGGCAGTGGGGAGGCCGCTTTTGCCCCTTCCTGAGCCTAGGTTTCCTCACTTTGCCCCCACCCAGCCTTGGGATGGGGCAGGACTTGGAAGGAGGGAACAGAGACAGGACAGAGGCCTCACCCAAGAGGGGCCCAGAGAGGGGCTGGTTCTTCTCTCTGTGAGCCCAGCAGGGTGGGCCCAGCTCCTGAACGTTCCCTAGTATAGTGAGTGCAAGACATACTTCTCCGAGCACAGGTGTGCGCCCAGACCCCCTACACACGTGCATGACCACACCTGTATACACACGTCCAGGCGTGCACCCTGGCCCCTACACACATACCCGTGGTTAGTCACCCTCCCCGACACTCGAGTACACAAGTGGGCACATCTCTATGAATTTTCTAACTCATACCAGACACACACACAAGCAAAAGTAGCCACTCAGACCGGCCCATCCTCCCATCACTCAGGCATGGGAGCACGATCAGGTGTGCGCATGTGCACATTGGAGACGGCGTGTACTCCCACTCACGCATTCATTTCACAAATATTTGATGAGCAGCACTGTCTGAGGGCCAGGGACACAGTGGCAGATGAGGTAATTCAGGTCCCTGTGGGGCTTTTGAGTTCACAGACACATGTTTACACTTAGGGTTGTATACACACACACAGACGTGGACTCACGTGCACACACTTGTGCACAGACACACGCAGGACAGCCTGGCGGCATGTCTCTTACCGTAGCTCAGCACTTCCTTGTTGAGTCTGACCACAATGCCCGGCTTGGAGGCACCGACCACAGGCAGCAGCACCAGCAGCAGGCCCAGCCATCGTGCCCAAGCCATGGCGGCCCTGGCCCCTGCCCCCAGGATCTGTGGGCAAGGGTGGGGACAAGCATCAGGAAGCTTGTCCGGAATGACCCCACCCTGGGCTGCTCAAATCCCACCCCAGCCTCGAGGTCACAAGTGAATGGTGATCCCAGTCCTGCCCATGACCCCACGTGTCAGTGTTTGCATCTCTGCACTAGGAAGAATTGCCTTCCCGTTCTGCTATATTAGGAACCACAGGGGCATCTGGTCTGGAAATGGCCCCCGAGGCCCAGAGTAGACATAGCTTTGTCTAAGGCCACACAGCAAACCAGGGCCAGGTGCAGGACCCAAGCCACCCAGAGGAGGATGGAGAGACTCCCAGATGGGGAGACTGAGGACATCTTCCTGTCCCAGGGAGAGACCCAGGCCCACCACCCCAAGGTCCAGAGCTGTGTCGCCTGATGCCAGGAATCCAGCCCAGTGAGACAGTCCGGCCTGGTGGCCAGCTGTCCAAACCCAACTGGGGAGGACCCAGGGCAGTTCCTGTCCTCATCTCTTCTTGTGCCAGGCCAGGAATGTTCTGAGTGTCAGCCTCTCACATGGCTCCATCCCCTCGGGCCCCAGACCAGCTGAATGGACAAATCCGTGTCTGACTCAGGGAAAGGGACCCAGCAGGAGATTGGCAGGGCAGGCATTGCTCAGATGGGTAACTGAGGCCCAACCAGGTGGCACTTGCCCAAAGTCCCACAGCCAGACCAGGGATGGCTCCTTCTGCGGAGGGCAGCTGGAGGCAGTATCCCCACTGAACAGATGGAGAAGTTGAGGCTCCTCCCTAGAGGATCTCCATTCCTACCTCAGGTGGTTCCCGGGGCAAGTTGACTCTCAGCCCCAGCCAAGCCCTCTGTGGCCCCAGGCAGTTGCGGAGGCTGCTTTATGAGGCTCCCCAGTGCGCAGGGCCCACCGGGAAGGGACCCAGGAAGGGGCAGGGTTTCTTGCGGTTGTGAGTGTTTTCCCTGCAAACATGGCCTTTGCCAAAATGTCTCATCCCACGTGTGCACTGGGGCTGCCACGTAGTGAGCTCGGCTGCCAACCACTGCAAGACCCTGGGGCTGGGCAGCTCTGGGGCCTCGACGACCAGGAGATCTCTAGATGGAAGGTTGGTCCCAGGAGGGTCCCCTCATCACCCCGGCCAGGCCTGGCCAGGCCCAGGAGGAAGGGGATGCCCGAAGTGCAGTTATCCCTTCTCCCTGGGGCCTCCACGCAGAAGCATTAGCCTTTTAGGAGGAGCAGGAAGCCACCTGAGCCCCATCCCCAGTCATCGACTGAGCCCTGTTCCGGGTCACACACTGAGCCCTGACCCTTGTCGCATACTGAGCCCGCAGCAGACATGGAGACCTAACCCAAAGGGTGACAGATGAGAGGGTGTGGAGGACCCAGTCCCTCTACTTAACCCTCAGTCTCTCTCCCAACGCACATCCCACTCACAAAGGACTGAGCCCAGCATCTCTTCCCACCTTGGCTAGTGGGGGCCCAGGGAACTGTGTGTGCCCCTGAAGGGGTGTGTATATGCGTGTGTGTCTGAGGGTTGTATGTTGCTTACGTGTGTGTGTGGTGTGTGCACAGTCATGCGTCCACATGTGCACTAGGTCATAATTACTGGCATCAGAGGAAAGTGTGTGTGTGTGTGTGTACATGAAATGGGCATGTTGCCCTCTTAGTTGATGGTGTTACAGGCCTGTTTACACAAACCTACATGAGTGCAGGTGTGGGGAGTTTGGTGGATAATATGTAAAAGTAGGCTTGGTATACTGAGTGTGTCTGTGGGTCTGTGTGTGAATGTGTGTGTGTATCATGGACTGTTTCCTGACATTAGGGGTGCGCAAATGTGTTTGTGTGTGTACATACACGTGTGCCCCAGAGATGATGGCAGAACCACAGGTAGACCCCCCCCCCATTCCTCTGCATGGCTCACCTGGGACACAAGCACAAGGAGCCTTGGGGCCTCCTCTCACTCCAGAGCCTTCTATGGCTCCCACTGATTCCATTCCAGCCCAAACCTCAGGTTCAGAGGCCAGGCCCACCTGGGCTGGGTCCCCACTAGTGCTGACAGGAACTGCAGACCCCACTGGGCCCTCCCCCAGAAGCCAGAGCTCACCTGGACCAGCCCTGCCTCCCAGCCAGTGCTCCCCTGCCCCATTCTATAGACATAAAGGAATGAGCAGAGTGAGCTGCACGCTCCTAACACCCTACACCTGGCCTCAGTTTAGCCACTGATGCACAAGACCAGCCCTCCTGGTCCTCACTGTAGCCGAGGCAAACAGCAGACTCAGCAGAGATGGCACAAATATTGACCAAAGCCACTCTCAGTGTTTTCTCTCGACATGAACACTTCCTCTTTCTCGACATTTCAAGCACCAGGGGACTTTGGGCAACAGCCGTAGACACAAAGGAGGGAGATTATCACCAGCCCCTCCTCCCTGCGATGATGGTAAACGCCATTAGTAGCACCTGCTACGAGCAGGCTGTTCTTCTGTCACTTTACCCTCTTCCCCAGGGATGGGAACTGGTTCTGCTCCCCTCTGTGATTAATAAATAGCAGTGCTTATTAAACACTTGTTGAATGAATAAATGAATGAATGAACCATTGAAAGACCCTTGTAACAATGACAGTGGCCACATTCCAGAGCTTCCCCTTCACCAAGTTTTCCTCGGAGCACTGTATTAGTTTCCTATCGCTGCCATAACCAACTATCACAAACTGAGTGACTTAAAACACAAATTTATTATGTTATGGTTTGGGATGTCTAAAGTCCAAAATGAGTTTCCCTGGGCTAAAATCAAGGTATTGGCAGGGCTTTATTTCTTTCTAGAGGCTCTAGAAGAAAATCCACTTCCTGGCCTTCATTCCTTGGCTTGCGGCCCCTTCCTCCACCTTCAAAACCAGCAAGTGAGGCTGAGTTCTCTTTATGCTACTGCCGCTCTCCTCTTCTGCCGCCCTCTTCCACTTACAAGGACTGCTGTCATTACACGGGACCCACCCAGATAATCGAGGATATTCTCCCATTTCAAGGTTAGCTGATGAGCAACTTTGATCTCACCTGCAAGCTTTAGTTCCCCTTTCCTATGTAAAGTAACATATTTACACATTCAGGTTTTGGTACCTCTTTGGGAAACAGTTCTGTTTACTGCAGGTACTTAGCCTGCAATTTGAGCAACTGCCACCAGGGGGCAAAAGTGAATTCATTTTAGCCTCATGATCCAAATAGGCTCTCCACAGACAGGGCTGATGGAAAAACCATAGCCAGGCATTCGCATTCTGTATACTTTTACTTTCACCAGTAAAAAGTAGAACTTTATGAAGACAACAACATGTACACATTGTTTTGTGCTATGTAAAACATCCGCCGGTGAGAAGCTCAGCATTAGAGTGCATTCGTGTACAGCCTAAGAAGGTGGCAAGTCTGGAAGCTCAGAGCAAGAAAGCAAGGGTCTGGAAGCAAGAAAAAGTGTGACCTGGATATTGGAGCCCCAGGTCTTGCCCCTGCCCAGCCCCTGGCACCCTGGCATGGCCATCCCTTTCTTGAGGCCTCAATTTCCCCATCTTAGAGGTGGAAAGTTGGTCAGAATGGACTCCTCTGAGGGGAAGTTCCAGGGCCAAGCTGGAGACTGGGCAGACCACCCCCACCTGCTCTGTGAGGTCACAGTGCCAACGGCAGCACTTGACCCAGGCAGATTCCACACAGCACCTTCCAGGGAACTCTAGGGGGAGGCGGCAGCGGCAGCTACTTCCTCCTCGCCAGCTCCCAGAGAGCCCCACCACTAACTCCCCGTCCTAGAGAAGGAAGCGATGCCACGGTCCTCAAGAAGCCCTGGGGACTCGTGTGACCCACCCCAAGATGTGGCCCACGTCCTCAGGGATGCCAGGCCCAGGAGGTGAGGACAGCAGCCCCTCCCTCTGCCCAGCCCTTCACAGTTTACAAAACTCTGCCCCTCTGCCTTTCTTGGAAGAGAGCAGGCATTAGCAGCTACACTCCCAGATGCAGCACCTGAGGTCAGAGAACTTTGGGAGTGGCTTTCCTAAAGTCTCCCAGCCAGGAAGTGGTGGAGCGGTCATCCTTTCAGCACGTGCTCTTTGAGCACCTGCTGTGTGCCAGGCGCTGGGCAGAGTGCCGGGGGGACGGCGTTGCACCAGCCGGACGTGCTCCCTGCCCCGCCAGAGCTCACGTGAAGGAGACAGACAGTAAACCAGGAAACACACATCTCTGCTGTCTGTATCTGTAGGAGGCCTCCAGTTGCAGGTGATGGAAATTCCCACTCAAAATGGTGCCTACCTCTGGGCCCCCCAGACAGGTGTACATCCCAAGAGGGTGTACAAAGCAAGCCACTGGGGTGAGGGGAAAATTATTAGAACTTCAGTGAGTATTTTTTTTAGCTCATCCTCTTTTAATTTATATTCCTCAGGAATATGTAAAGTTTGTATGATTGAAAGGGTAAACTATGTTAGCACACTTGGAGAGATATATACATATATAACATACATTGGGGGTATAATCAAAAATGAGGTTTGAAGATCATTGCCTGAAGAAATAAAGGAAAAATGTACAACATAGGGAATATAGAAAACATTTTATAATAACTATAAATGAAGTATAACCTTTAAAAATTGTGACTCACTATATTGTATCTCCGTAACTTAGAAAATATCGTACGTCAACTACACTTCAGTTTTTTAAATTTTTTAAAGAAATGAAGAAAATTTATCTCACATACCAAAAAGATACCAAGATGTGGGTGGCTCCAGAGAATATTAATTCCGCAGGTCTGCAATGCCACCCAAGACCCAGGTTCCTGCCACCTTTTTGCCCTTTTGACCTCCTCTCACAGTCACCAATGGCTGCCACCGATCCAGGGGTCACACAGAAGCTTGGTTGTGTAGGGAGGAAGGAGAGTGGGTGTTGTATCCTGCGGGTCTCAGCTTAGCAATGAGGAAACCTTTCCCCCAAGTCCCAGACCCCCACACCCAGCCCACAGGCCCCCTGCAGACTTCCTCGCCTTGAGCCCACTGCAAGGGGACTGAGAGTATTACAACAGCCTGAGACCAACCAAGACCATCTGAATCACACGAGGGAGTAGGGGACCAGGGTCCAAAATCAGCCTTTTTCCAACAAGAGGAAGGAGTGGTTCTTGGATGACAACTGCCTGTGACTGCCATGGCAAACTGAGTTTTTTTCCTCTAAAAAGACCTGGACTAGGGGGTCAGCCAGACCTGGTCCATCACTGATCCACAGACCTGTGGTCTTGAGCAAACTTCTCTGCAATTCACTTTCTCCATCTGGAACATGGGGACACCGTGCTCCTTGTAAACTGTACAATGCAATTGTGGATCTTGTCATTGGCAGGATCATCCAGCGAGGCCGGAACATCTGCAGGATGGCAGAGGAGCCCTTGCCAAACACAAGTGAGACGGGAGAGGAGAGGGGAGCCCTGGGGTCTTTGTGGGCAGTGAGGAGCTGAGGCTCAGAGACATCAAGTGGCCAATCCAGGGCCCAATCCACCCAGCAAGGGGCAGGGCAGGGGGCAGGGATGCTGGCACCAAGTCCTGGGTGCTCCCCCAGTGTCTGCAGGCACCATGTCCCAGAAGCTGGCAGCAACGTGACAGCCCTGTGCTCTCTGCAGGTGATGCCTTCCTGCTGCCTATCCGCATCAATGTCCCGGCTCCAGGCCTGATGCAGTGCATGCTGGGATGCATGTGTACGTACACACTGAAGAGCTGGCTTCCCAGCAGCGTGGGCCTGGGAAGAGGGCCCAGCCTCGGGCCAGGCTGACCTGGAGGCGGGGCGAAGGCCATTGCGGGGCTGCAGGGGCGGGAGAGAGCTGCAGGTGGCGCTCTGGAGGGCTTCTCATCAGAGGTGCCAGCGATGTCATTCCAGCGAGGATCTCCTTGGTGGTTGGAGAGAAGGAGTGGTAGGGCGTCTTGCTGTTTGGA